GGTAGGTGCTGTTATTATCCCCATTTTACAGATGAGGAACCTAAGGCAAACAAAGGTTAAGTAACTTGCCCAGGGTCATGCAGCTAGTAAATAGCTTTCTGATTGCAGGCCCAACCTTTTGTCCACTGTTCCATCTAGCTGACTTGAGTTACCAAAGTAATATTGTAATTGGAGCGGAGCATACTATGGGCTACCTATACAGTCAACCCATTCTTCTCTGTTTCTCTCACTCTCTCTGCCAAAAGCAGGGAGCTGATCTTTTCTTGTCTTGCTTCAATAATAATTTCAACTTTCAAAAGTGGAAGAAGCAATGAGGGGAATATTTATCCTCTACCTGATTTTCAACCCAAACAATGCCTTGAGCTGGGGGGCTATTCTACCTTAGAATTTCTACCTTAGAGTTGTCAGGAAACACAGGCAGTGTAAAATGCACCCTAGATTCTAGGAAAACAGATTTCAAAGGCTTCAAGGGGAGGATGGATAAAACTACATGTACTATGGAAACTACAGGGTCAGTCAGTCCTGAAGCAAGGGAAGTTCTTGAGAAAAGAATTCTTAACACAGAGAAACAAGTGAAGGAGGAGGAAGGGGGTGGGGATGGTGCACTGCCTCAAGGGACCAATACAGACACACAGAAAACGCCACAACCAAATAGGATTTTTAAAAGACTGGAGAAAGGGAGGGGAGTGAGGGGGGACATGTTAGCTCTCTTCAAATATTTGTAGGGCTGTCAAATATGGGGCCTTGTACTGCTTGGCCCCCAGCAGCAGAGCTAGGAACAACGGAGGGAGCACAGGAAGATTTAGATTTGATGTCAGGAAAAACCTCCTAACAATTAGAGCTCTCCAACAGGAGGATGGGCTGCCTTGGGAGGTAGCAAGAGAGGTCTCCGAGGACTTGTCAGGCACATTGTAGACAAGCCTGTTGTTCCAGGACACTTTGGACCAGCTGGCTTCTAGGATTTCTTTCTGATTGTAATTAACATGTCCAGCCTAAAAGTCAGAGACACCAGGACTTGGTGTCCTAACCTAAGCTCCCACAGTTCAATGTTGTTTAACTTTGTACCTTTGTGTATTACATACATTACACATTTTTTTCTTCCTTTTTTTTTGGGGGGGGATGGGTCCTGTCAGTTTAGCAGTACAGGAAACTCCCAGTGAGGAAACTCCCTCTACCAATGTAGATCACACCTACTCTGCAACTTCCAGTCCTAGTTGGACTAAGACGGTGAGGGGTTTGATCAGGGTCCCACAGCTGGTGACATGTCAGGATGCTTAAGGGTCATGCTGGGTCACAGATAACTTTGTGCCTTTATTTCACCCTTCACACGCTCTTCCCATTCCCAAAGTTGAAATGCACTTGCCTTCCTAGAGGCAGTGGGATGAAAGAGAAGGGGGACCCTTGGTATCTCCTCCCCTGGATGAGTACAAATAGAAAATAGAAATAAAAAAGAAAAGAGAAAAGGGATAAATCCTGAGAAGCAATGGTTTATCCTTGCTGCTGCTGCTGCTTCACCACAGGCTTCTTTCTGCCCCTGCCACTCCAATGAAATGGCTCTCATCACTTCACCTGAATTCCTGGTCTGCCTTGACCTTGGTAGAATGGCGCTCTCAGCCCCGTGTCCTCCTCCTGGGTTTCTGGGTCACTGATCCTCCTACCTGCCTGACCACTCCTTCCAGATCTCCGTCACTGCTTCAACACCCTCCTCTGGCCCCCTAAGTCTTACTATTGCTCAGAGCCTGGGCTTCGGTCTCTTTCTCTTCTCCCTCAACATTCTCCTCAGAGATGATTTAATCTGCTCCCATGCAGTCAGAAGATCAGTTTTACATCTTGAAAGGATCTCAGAATTCATCTAGTCCAACTTCCACATTCTATAGATGAGGAAACTGAGGTTCGGAGAGGGGAAAAGATTCGCTCAGGGTCACAACAGGTGGTATTTTTCAAGGGTGGGATTTGAACTCAAGTCTTTGGACTCCAAATTCAGCATTCATTCCAGCTGTGTTCAACTCTTTATGACCCCATTAGGAGTTTTCTTGGCAAAGATACTGGAATGGTTTTGCCATTTCCTTCTCTAGCTTATTTTACAGATGAGGAAACTGAGGCAAACAGGGTTAAGTGACTTGCCTGGGGTCACACATCTAGTAAGTGTCTAAGGCTGAATCTGAACTCAGGTCTTCCTGACTCCAGGCCCAGTGCTCTATTTATTCTGTCACTTAACTGCCCCCCCAAAAATGTCACCCTTGACCATCAACCTGTGGACATTGTGTCTTTCTTGTTGTTGTTCAGCCATTTCAGTCACGTCCAACTCTTTGTGACTCTATTTGGGGTTTTCTTGGCACAGATACTGGAAAGGTTTAAGGCAAACAGGGTGAAGTGACTTGCCCAGGGTCACACAGCTAGTAAGTGTCTGAGGTCATATCTGAATTCAGGAAGCTGAGTCTTCCTGACTCCAGGCCTGGCGCTCTATCCGCTGCACCACCAAGCTGTCCTCCACTGTACTGTGGTGCCTCAATCTGCTGATTCTGATATCTATATCCAGCACTCATCTCTCCCCTATATATCCACCAGCCTGCACGCCCAGAACCAACACAATGCCCTGCAAATAATGACAAACGCTTGTGGGATGCTATCTCCATTTGGGTGTCCCCAAGCACTTTGAGATGGACATGGCCAACATAGAATGCATCCTCTTAAGGCCACCACCCTTCTGACTTCCCTCTCGGCTGACAGCACCACAAGCCTCACCCAGAACCTCAGCATCATCTTTGCCTCACTTCCTGTTCATTACATTAAATACGACATTCAACATATATATATATTTTGCTTTTAGGCAATTGGGGTTAAGTGACTTGCCCAGGGTCACACAGCTAATAAGTGTCAAGTGTTTGGTCTGAGGCCAGATTTGAACTCAGGGCCTCCTGACTTCAGGGCCGGTGCTCTATCCACTGCGCCACCTAGCTGCCCCAACATATATTTTAAAAAACCCTTGACAATATACACAATGTTCCACACCTGACCTCTGCAAAGGGGCAAGAGGAGGTGTCTTCTTTCTCTTCTTTGGGGCCATGCTCGCTCTCTCTGATTCAGCAACATTCCTCTTCGATTGTTTTGTGGTGGTTACCCTTCCGCTTATATTAAAGCAGTCACTGTGGTGATTGTGTTCCTGGAAGAGCTCCCTCCTTTACATTAAGTTAAAACCTGCTTCCCAGTCCATCCCTGACTTCAACCGCTCCCCAATGACCCCTCCAAGGCCCAACACAGCCAATCCAATCCCTCTTCTATGGGCCTGTGGAGATCATGGATGTGACAAACCTTTGACCGTATGAAGACCTATACAAGTGGGAGGGATAATTATTCCTTTCCTTCCAATACGTGACTCAGAACTATTTCTACAGGGATGGAAACCAAGCTGCTTGTCAGGTTCATGCTCTTTCTGCTGGTCTCTAAAGGACAGCGGGCCTCCCAGTCAGGTAGGTCAGCCTCTGATCTAACTCAAATCCCCCAGAAGGCAGCACAGAATAGTAGGAAGAGCCCAGAGACTGACTCCTATTGCATCTATAATGCTGGAGGAGTCCCTTCCTATCTCTGGGACTCAGTTTCCTCTTAAGTAAAATGAAAAGACTGGATTAGGATTAGGGGTCAGAAAACTACAGCCAGACCTTGCTGCCTGTTTTTATATAACCCTTGAGCTAAGAATGGTTTTGACAGGAACTGGGGCCTCAGGCCATTGTTTGCCAACACCTGTACCAAAGGATGCTTGAGGTCTTTGCTGACTTCATTTCCTGTGACTGTTTGCTGCAGTCTACATTTAACAGACAAAGGCCCCGAGATAGGTAAGAAAAGGGTCATCAGCACCCAACTCAAACCTAGTAGAACCAGAGGCTAACTCTGTTCCTCTCCTGAGGCAGCTGGCTGGTCATGGAAGTACAGTCTGACAGCTTGCTAGCTCATCGACTCTAATTTCTAGAGCTCTCGAATGCTTAGAAAATAGTTTTTTGACAACAACCCCACTAAGTCAGTTGTGCAACTACTGTGAAGCCCCATTTTACAAAGAAGGAAACTGAGGCTCTGAGAGGGGCCAAATGGTCAAATACAAGTCAATGGCAGAGACAGGAGGATAGGGTATGTAAGTCCCAGCTCTACCACTTACTCAGTGTGTGACAATGGGCAAGTCGCTTCCCAGCACTGGGCTTGAGTTAACTTCTAAGTCAAAGAAAGGATTGGGTTTGATGGTCCTAGAGGTCTCTTCTAGTCCTGTGAATCTATGATTCTATTATTCCTCCTCTGACTGGGTGCGTCTCATGGATAAGCTGACCCACTCAAGCCCAGCATTTGGGTAATCAGGGACCATGCATTCCATGGGGCTCATTCTTCCCCAATTTTCCCCAAAGTGCTTTCTATCCATTCTCTCATACCCAGAAGTCAGAAATAGCTTTACTCTACTGCCTGCTCTGATTCAGAGCCCTCCATCTAGAAAGAGGTACAGTCATTTTATCCACATCTCAGCCTCTGGGCCTTACAACCTGGCTTCTTCCGACTTCCTTTCAGTCCACTTGGAGATTACTCCCTTGCATAAACTCTACAGTCCGGCCACACTGGCCTTAGACCCAAAACTCCATCTCCCTTTACCCTGTACCTTTACAATACATATTTGGAATGCTATGTCTTATAAACCCTGGCTTCTTCCAAGACTCAGACCTAGTGCCACCTTCTGCAGGAGGTCTTTCGGGGTCTCGACAGATGATCAAGCCTTCTCTCTAAGGTTACTTTTCACCTATTCTGCACTTTCTACATACCCACTAATAAACATGTGGTCCCCTTCACTAGAATGTTAGCTCCTTGAGGACAAGGACAAGTTTTGCCTTTCTTTGTGTCGTCATCACTTAGCACAGTGCCTGGCATACAATAGGTGTTTAATAAATGCTTGTTGATTTATTGAATCTGGGAGCACCAAGACAGAGTACCTTCCCAGGGATTTACCTGGAGCCAGCCCCACTCACCAGTTGAATTCATTGTAGTCATTGTCAACTTCCCACCAGAAATAGAACCAGGTCAGGGTGAGAAAGAAGGTGAAGATGAGAATCAGGAACCAGAGACGTTCCCACTGTGGAGACAGAAAAATAGGATGGTCACTTGAAGTCTAGGCACAGCTCCAAAGACAACACAGATTATTCATCTGGCCACCCATTTGTCTCCTTTCTCATTCCCCTACAACAGAGCCACCCTAAATAGCAAATACTTTTTTTTTCTTTTTCTTTTTTTTTTGGGGGGGCAATTGGGGTTAAGTGACTTGCCCAGGGTCAAACAGCTAGTAAGTATCAAGTGTTTGGTTTGAGGCTGGATTTGACCTCAGGTCCTCCTGACTTCAGGGCCGGTGCTCTATCCACTGGGCCACCTACCTGCTCCGCAAATAATTTTTTTTAAAGAAAAAAAAAGGAAGAGAAAAAAAATCAGCAAAATCAATCCACATATTAAAAAGAACCTGCTATCACATGCAATGGTCCATGCCCAAGGACTGTCCCCTACCCACCTCTCCAAAGGAATGGAGGGAAGTGTCTTCTCATGTTTCTCCTTTGGAGTCAAGTTTGTACTTTGTAACTTCCCAACATTTATTTGTTTGTTTTTTAATCATATTCAACAAATATTTATTAAGCCCCTACAGTGTACAGAGTCTTGCGATCTGTGCTAAGAAAGATGCAAATTTACTTTACACAGGATACAGCCATCATGAAGAGCAACCCTTGTGGAGAGGAGGCATCCCATCTACACCTACAACAGCTGACAAACTACCACTGACAGGCCAACAAGCCTAACAGGTATAAGCCCTGCTCCCCCCGGCTGCTGGCCCTGCCTCCGTGTCAGCCATCATCCGGAAGAGCAACCCCTGGGAAGTGTCCATCTGGCAATTGCCCCGGCAGTTGGGGTCTGCAGCTCCTAACTCCTTAGCAGTCATAGCTACTAAAGACCCAGAAAAGAAAGTTCTCATCACTAGTTTTTGGAAACATTAAATGGCTGAAAATCAGAAACATTTGGTTTTATAAATGGAAATTATATTAAAGAAAATGCATTATCCCTTGGACGCCAATGTACCTTAAGGACCATAGGACCTTCCCCTCCCCCCCTTTTTTACATTTTAATTTTATTATTTTTTCAATTAATAAGCATTTATTCCCACCTTTCACTCTCCAAGTAAACAACAAAAAATACAAAAAATAAATCCTCCCTAACAAATATCGATAGTCAAACAACGTAAAACCTGCCCTGGTCATGTCCAAAAAATGCACGTCTCACCTGCATTTTGTGTCCGTCACCTCTCTGTCAAGAGGAGGTTAACATGCTTCTCTCAAATCATTTGTCAGTCCACTGATCAGAATTCTCAAGTCTTTCAAAATTGGTTTTCCATATGTTATTATCATATAAACTGTTCTCCTAGTTCTCCTACTCACTTCACCCCATACCAGCAGATGCAGGTCTTCCATGAGGCCTTTCCATCTGCCCTGCTGCCAAACCCTCCCACATGTGTTATCTCCCCCTATCAGAATGTGAGCTCCTGGAGAGCAGGGAAAGTCTTGCTTTTTTACTTGTATGCCCAGCACTCAGCACAGCAGCTTGCTGATAGTAAGCCTTAATAAATGCTTTTTTAATTCATTTGCTTCCAGACCTCAAGGAGCTCAAAGTCTAGTGGGAGTGGGGGGCAAGGTGGTGAGAGAAGTAACTATAACAGAGACTACTCCTTGATAAGTGCAGCATTAGAAACAGATGCAATGCTCGGTGAGACCCAGCTGGGGTGATTAGAGAGAGCTTCCTGGGGCAGGGAGCACTTCAGCTGGGCTTTCATGGGTGGGAAAGAAGAAAATGAGACAAAGGGGGAACCACAGGAGAGGAAGACATTCCAAGCACAAGATATAGCATGCTCAAAGAAGAGTATCTAGAACAAGGTAGTCAATAGCTAACGTTTGTTTATATAAAGCTTTAAGGCTGGAAAACTACTTTACCCGTATTACCTCATTTGAGCCCTACAATCACCCCTTGAATTAGATGCTATTATTATACCCATTTTATTGATGAGGAAACTAAATCGGAGAAAAGTTAAATGTCAGGCTGTCACATCTAAGTGTCTGAGGCAGCATTCAAAGTAAGCTCTTCCTGATTTCGAATCCAGCCCTCCAGCCATGCTTTTCAATGGAAGGGTGGATGACAAGGATGCCAGGGATATTGAGGGGATTCCTGCTTAGTTATGGATTGGCCTGGATGCTCACTCAGATCCCTTCCCATCATAAGACTCTATCCTCACTGATATTTTAGGTTCTGACCCTTTTAGGCATTTATCCTCAGATGTGCCCTCCTAGTTCTTAAAAAAAAAACCCTTCTGATTCTTTGAAATTCAATCAATTATCAAAGATTTGTCCAGCATCTACACCTAGCTGCCCAGTGTTGGACACCCAAAGGGCAGGAAGACGAACAGACAGTCCAGGTGCTGCCCAGGAAATGGGGATCTTGGCTTTTCCCAGACTATGAAGAAAAGCTTGAGCACTTTTTGTTAGTTTGTTTTTTTCTATGAGGAGGTTCTGAATCACCAAGTCCCCAATTCTGGGTTGGGCCCTTTAGCACATAGGGAGGCCAGGACCTCTTCCTCAACAAATGAGAAGTCCTCATGAAAAACTGAGAAAGGCTTCTTGTAGCAATAAAAATAAATAGGCTATTGATTCCTGAAGGTGGATGGGCCTCCAATCAGCCATGAGTTAACAGCTATCTCCTGGCCTGACCATTAGGAAGAGATTAATGGGCTGACATGTAGTCTCCTGGCCTCTACCTCTATGACTAGAAAGATCAAGCTCGTCTTTAACCAGCAGATTAGGGAGTCTCTGTGGCCAGGGGCCATGTCTCCCCCATCAGACCAGAAACTTCATCTTGCCCAGGATCAGTTCCACGGCTAGTTACTGGCACACTAAGGGCTCAAACCCAGGCTTCATGTCTCTATTGATTTTTTCCTACATTATGCTGCTGAGGAAAGGGAAGATTTGTGTCCAATTCCAAAGGATGAAAAGGCCCAAGGCTGCTCTTTCCACCATACCCTCCATGATTTGACAGTGGCTAGGAAAATAATGTCTCCTCCACATACACATACAACCTGCCCCTTCTCTCCCCCGCCCCAACTCCCTATGGAGATGGAGTGGCTGCTAGTCTCCCCCTTCCTTGCCACTTTCAGCCTTGTTAGACTAGGCAACCAGGCCTCATAGGATCATCTTCTTATTAGCTCTGGGCAGGATGCCCAGCACAGGGCAGCAGGGGGCTCCCCATCCATGACAACTTCCACTTATTTATAGAAGTTCATTAACTGGAGAAATACAGTAAGCCATCCTCCTGGTCAGCTCTCTGGGGGAGAGGGGAGAAAAAGAAAGAGATCTACCATCCTCTGGCACCGCACAGACACAAAGACCTCAAAACAAAGAATGTTAGAGCTAGGAAGGACTTCAGAATACAGAATTATCAGAGCTAGGAGGGCCCTTAGAACACAGAATGTTAGAGCTGGGAGGAACCTCAGAATACAGAATGGCAGAACTGAGAAGACCCATGGAGTACAGACTGTCAGAGCTAGAAGACCTCAGAACATAAGCTGTCTGAGCTGGAAGAGCCCTCTGAATATAGAACACCAGAGTAAGAAGGACCTCAGAACATAGAACGTCAGAGCTGGGAGGAACCTCAGAACCTATTATGTCTGAGCTGAAAGGGTGCTTAAAACATAGACTGTTCAGAACACAGAATTTTAGAACACAATTTCAGAGCTGGATGGGACCTTGAATTATTGTAGAATGTCAGAGCTGGAAGGGACCTCAGATCACTTAACAGAATTAACATAATAACATTATGTTAATTAACAAAATAATACTAATAGAATGTTAAAATTATAGGAAGCTTAGAATGTAGAATGTCAGAGCTGGAGGAGCCAGAAGAGCTTACTGAATTCAACCCAGAGTCCAACTCCATAGGAGAAAACTAAAGCCCACAGAAAAGAGACTTGCCCGAGGTCATACAGAGTTAAGCCCAAGGTCATACTTGAACTCAGCTCTCCCGAGGCCAGGGTTCTTTCCACAACATCCCATAAAGCAGCTTTTTTGGGCAAATCCAACAAAAACAACAACAGATTCCCATATTTTATCTCTTTATGCAGTTTACAAAAGTACTTCCACATCCCTCCTATCGTGTCCTCCTTACAACAGCCTGGTGAGGCAGGGCAGGCATGGGATAAAATGGGACTCCGGGTAGGAAGGAGCTGGGTTATATTTCATCTCCCCTAGGGATAATTCTTCCTTTTCTCACCACTTTCCTCCCCTTGTTGAATTTGTATCCATCCTTTAAAGCCCAAACATTCCCTTTTCCAGAAAGCTTTCCCTAGTCCGTTTTGTAAGTTCAGTAATGGCTTTACGAAGCCATCTACTTATACCTCGCTGATACATAAATCTCTTTGCAAATCTTAAAGTACTATATAATTGTTAGCCACTATTACTCCTACTACTGCTCCTGAGGCAGTAGTAGATAGATAACTGGACCTGGAGTCAAGAAGACCTGAGTTCAAATCCCACCTCAGACATTTACTTAGCTGAGTAATTTTGAGCAAGTTTACTTAACTTGTCTGCCTCAGTTTCTTCATCTATATAAAATGGATAATAATAGTACTTAACTTCCAGGGTTACTCTGAGGCTAAAATGAGATAGAATTTGTACGTGCTTTGCAAACCTTAAAGTGCTATATAAATGCTAATTATGATTGACTATAACTGAAACTACAATTTTTTTATTCTAGGGCTACCCCAAACTGCACCTTCTGTATCTCCCCTGTTTGCTCCATAAGCTTCTATGAGTATATACCTCAAATAATGCTTGGGATTTTCTGAGAAGAAAGAAGGTAAAATCAAACACATTTATCCAGCCCAGAATCCTTCAGGATTGGAGCTTGGGAATCTAAGAAAAGATAACCCAATGAGGGCCATTAGATGGCCTCAGAGATCCCTTCCAACTTGAAGGCTTCTATGAACCAAATCCTAAGCTTCTATGAGCCTGGGATTCTGTAACGCTAACATGTTGTGATTCTAAGATTCAGTGA